TATTATATATTATATATTAAATGCCTCCCACCACTTGAACCGTCGATCACATTTCGACTCTTTTATAGAATTTTTACGTTATTCCAGTCAATGGAATGTCCTGTCTCATTCACATGGACAGCCAAGGCTGACTTGTCGGCTTTTTGAAGGCGAACTGCCACCTGATGTKGTTCCGGAGAAATGGGTTCCCTGTGTTTAGCCCCAGAGGGCTTAGCAGGGGAGGAAAAAAACGTGGTTTTTTGGGAACGTTTTGTTGTTCRTAGAAAAACAATACTGAAGAGAAATAATGAGTCTTTTATCACCAAAACATGGTAGCAGAGCGARGTTGAAGGACTCGACATCGACATGAGTGGTTTTAAGAGCAAGACTACAGCTAAGGCGAAATTTTACAGATTACAGAACGAGATTCATTTGCTGTTGGAGTGAATCACCGGCGAGCAAACCTCAGGTGAGACATGAGTTTTCAAAACTAAGCCTTGCCTTAGAGGAACTAATGAAGTCAGCTGGAAAATTAGGTGATCATTATGCAGTATACGAAGAAGTGGATAAAATAGCAGCGCTTGAGGCAGAACTCGAGAAAATCKACAAAGAATTTAGCGAGACCGAACTGACAGTCAATCGTTTTGTAAACAGYYGCTACGTCGCTTCAACTGCCTCAATTGCTCAAGTTAATACACCGCAGAGAAACCAAGCGACTCAGAAAGAGCTGGACCAGAAAATAAAAGAGCAAGAGCAAGAGATAGATCGTTTAACCAAGGAAATTCAGACGACTATGGAGATATTAAAGTCAGAACCCAATAAACCGATAGTTCAGAACGAGGAGTCCACCAAAGTACCGGTGAGTGATCCTAAGAAAATCGAGACTAAATCCCTAGAAAATATGCCACGACCCGTACCAAAGAAAGTTCCGCACCGCAAACCAATGAATTTGGGGGATTACCACCATCGTTTGATCATGTGATATCGTCGACTCTTGCCTATAAGCCACCGTTAGGAGGGTTAGGAGCAACAAATCAAAATATTCCCAACATCGATAARCCTCGCCTTCACACAGAGAGCAAGGTGAAGGATAAGTATAATCCTGATGCAAATTCTCAATTATTCAACGATTCAAGCTTCRATCCTGCAAGACTGTTGACACGTGTTTCAATCCCGAAGTTTTCGGGAAATAAGAKGAACTATGAATCATGGAAAGCTGCATTCACATCATGTGTGGACAATACGACAGCAACACCAGAGTACAAACTACTCCGACTTCACAATTGCCTTGAGGGCGAGGCACTTAGAGTGATTGAGAGCCTTGGACATTCTTCAGCAGCCTATGATGTCGCCAAGGAAAGACTTGAACGAAAGTATGGAGGAAAAAGGAGACAGATAGCACTGCGATTAGAAGATGTAAGCAAGCTCAGACAAGTCCGTGACGGAAACGCTGGAGATCTGGAGTCATTTGCTGAACTGTTGGACATTTTAATCGTCAACTTGAAGGATGCTGGCCAGCAAGCAGAACTTGGCGGTGGATCTCTTTACATTTCACTGCAGCGCAAGCTCARTGAAACTCTGTTGTCCCGGTATAACAGGTGGATATATGAGAACTTTCTGCCAGAGACTGTTGAGAATTTAAGGATGTTTGTCAACCAAGAATCAGACTTTCTAACAAACGCCACAGAAACTGTGAGAGGCTTAACGAAAGAAGCAGCAAAAAGGGAACAACCCCCAAAAGCATTCGTAGAACAGAAAAACACCCAAAAGAGGAATAACATGTGCCTGTTATGTGGTGAAGAACACGTTCTGTGGACCTGCCAAAAGTTCAAAGCCCTAGATCATGATCAACGCTGGGAAAATGCCAAAAAGCTACGCGTGTGTTTTCGCTGTCTCTCTGGTACGCACCAAGGAAAGGACTGTCCCAGGAGTAAGACATGTGCAATAGATGGYTGCAGCCGTACACACCACAAGCTGTTACACAAGAGCTCTCAACAGACAACAGCCCCATGCCAGCAAGAGAGTCAGGTAATTTTCACTCAACCATCGTTTGAGGTAACTTCCAATAAAGGGGAGGACACCTACACCTCGACTACAACCCACCTTGAGCCTGATCCAGATTACATTGCTCTTCGAACTGTTCCTGTTGTATTAAGGAATGAAGCCAAGACCATTAGGGTCAACGCCCTTTTAAATGACGCTAGCACAAAGTCTTACATAAATAGTGATGTTGCTGCAGAACTAGGTCTTGAAGGTCGCCCGGAAATGCTAACCGTAAATGTATTAAATGAGAACCAACTTTACCTTCTGTCAGCAAGACCCCGGAGAGTTAAACAACCTTGTGCGACGTTTTTGGGAGATGGAAGAACCACAGCCAACTGCACTCGTCAAGCCAGATGAGAAGCAAGCAAACGAGATTGTATCACAGTCACTAACATATAGCAATGGYCGCTACTGYGTAGGAATACCATGGAAGGAAGACAAGTCTACACTACCAAACAATCATGAGATGGCACTGAAGAGACTGCAGAACACTGAAAAACGCTTGTTGAGAGATCGAGACATCGGAAGGTCATATCAGCATGTTATGAACAGCTATCTTGAAAAGGGATATGTTCGTCAAGTAACGCCTTGTGAAGACAAAGTTGATCAAGTATGGTACCTACCACACTTCCCAGTATTAAGACCTGACAAGAGCACCACTAAAACTCRCAYTGTCTTTGATGCTTCCACCAAACATGAGGATGTTTCCCTCAATGACATCATCCATYAAGGTCCAAAGCTCCAGAACGACCTGTTCGCAGTACTGACACGTTTCCGACGCAACCCTGTTGCAATCATGTGTGACATAGCTGAGATGTATTTACAGATCGACTTAAAGCCAGATGATAAACCTATGCATAGATTCCTGTGGAGGGATCTAGACCAGAGCAAGCCCCCAGACGTCTATGAGTTCAACCGAGTCGTATTTGGTGTAAATTCCTCGCCATTCTTAGCGCAGTTTGTTTCTCAAAGAAACGCGATAGACAATCAATCGCAGTATCCACTTGCTGCTGAAACCATACTCAAAAGCACCTACATGGATGACAGTATGGATTCGGTAAAGGAYGTATCAACCGCAATTGAACTGCGTGACCAACTTGTACAGCTATGGGCAGCYGCTGGAATGCATGCCAGAAAGTGGCTGTCTAACCATCCAGACGTACTCCGAGACATCCCATCTGCTGACTGTGCTGCTGCTGTGGACCTAGACAGTGGTCAGTTACCCTCGACCAAGACCTTAGGAGTATCATGGCACCCTGAACCAGACACGTTCAGCTTCTCCTTCAAGCCAGTGGGAACAGATAACATCACAAAAAGGAGCTTCCTGAGCAGTACCGCTTCGCTGTTCGACCCTCTCGGTCTACTAATGCCCTACACCATTCGAGCTAAAATCTTACTCCAGAAGTTATGGACAGCAGGTCTGGGATCAACCACTCGACCATCAGTTAAAGACTGAAGCGACAGTGTGGTTTGAAGAACTGCCCAACCTGATTGATGTTGGTGTTCCACGCTGCCTCCGGATAGACAACGGTATGGACAGTCATCTAAGTTTACACACATTCACAGATGCATCATYGAATGCATACGGTGCCGCTGTATATGCTGTACACGAATACAGAGATGGTACTCTTACCAGCCGCCTTGTCGCTGCAAAGGCCGGAGTAGCACCCCTTCAAGCCATCAGTGTCCCTAGACTTGAACTCATGGCAGCTGGTCACGGGCTGAAACTGACGCAGATGGTAGGACAGACACTTGAAGTCGACAAGAGTGATTGGCAATTCTGGTCAGACAGCATGGATGTGCTCCACTGGATTAGAGGACACAGTCGCCACTTCAAACCGTTTGTGGCCAATCGGGTTGGAGAGATTCAAGCAGCCACAGAACCAGAACAGTGGAGATTTGTCCCTACCCATTTGAACCCTGCTGACTTGCTAACTCGGGGACAGACTGTGTCTGAGCTTGCCAAGCAAGACAAATGGTGGAAAGGCCCAGAGTTTCTACTCCTACCCGCTTCAGAATGGCCTGTAAACAAGCTAGACATCCCTAAAGAGCCTGATATTGAGACAAAGAAACAGTATCAAGCGGTGTGTAACTTTCAGACTAAATCAAAGAAAAGATCAGCACCAACATCAGAGTCGAAGGTGATGCTTCAGATAGAGAATCGTCTTGACCCAAGCCGTCATTCAAGTTGGCCCAGAATGGTACGTGTAACAGCCCAAGTATTACGTTTTGCAAACAACTGCCGTTCTAAGCCTCAGCTGCGAACAACAGGACCTCTTCGCCCAGAGGAGATAAGAGAGGCYGAAGCTCACTTCATCAAGCTAGCTCAACTGGAAAGCTTTTGTGATGAGATTGCAGCCTTAAGAGCAAAAGGGACATTGCCCTGTAGCTCTAAGCTACTTCCTCTGAATCCTTTCTTTGATGAAGATGGTGTGGTTCGGTGTAACAGTCGTTTGCAGTTTGCTGAGTGCTTATTATGGGCAATTAAATTTCCAATCATTCTACCTCGGAAGCACGTTGTCACCTCATTGATTGTTCGAAAATCCCACAATCAGTGCCAACATGGCGGTACCAATCAAGTGCTCGCTAACCTTTCCAGTAAGTACTGGGTCATTTCAGCYAGGGAGGCCATTAGGGAGTGGGAAAGAGAATGCGCCATGTGCCAACGTAGAAAAGCCAATCCCATCAATCAAGTTATGGCTCCACTGTCAGAGTTACGAACCAATCAGTCCCTAAGAGCGTTCAACCAAGCCTCAGTTGACTTTGCGGGACCCTTTCTAACCAAGCAAGGGCGAGGAAAGACACGCCAGAAGAAGTATCTTTCCTTATTCGCGTGCCTGTCCACTAGAGCGGTGCATCTAGAAATGGCTTATGCCTTGGACACTGACTCCTTTTTAAACGCCTTTTACCGTATGGTTTCACGACGTGGACTTCCAGAAGTCATGGTATCAGACAACGGAACCAACTTTGTTAGTGGCGACAGAGAACTGAAAGAACTCGTAGCAGCACTCGACAAAGACAAGATACAAGACTCGACTGCCAACAGAGGTGTAAAGTGGCACTTTAATCCTCCGGGAGCACCGCATTTCAATGGAGTCCATGAGATCATGATCAAAGCAGCAAAGAAAGCGATCAAAGCAATCTTAGGAAATGCAGATGTTTCTGAGGAAGAACTCATGAGTGCAATCGCAGGCGCAGAAGGCTTGATCAACTCTCGACCCCTTACTTACCAATCAGCTAATGCATCTGATGAAGTTCCATTAACCCCAAACCATTTCTTGCATGGACAAATGGGTGGCCAGTTCGCACCTGAGACAGTCGACAGCACGAGTTTTAACCCAAGGAAGAGGTGGCGTYGGGTGCAAGAGCTTGTTCGCCATTTTTGGCAGAGGTGGCTACGAGAGTGGTCGCCAGGACTGAGTCCACGCCAGAAATGGTCAAAGACACAAAGAGACTTGAAGACTGGAGATCTAGTACTTGTAGTCTCACCAGACACCCCACGTGGCAAGTAGCCATTAGGCAGGATTGTTCAGACTTACCCTGGAGCGGATGGGCATGTACGCACAGYCGACGTTCAGCTTAAGGACACTGTGCTGAGGAGGCCRGTCATGAAACTGTGCCCCATCGAGCAAAAAAGAAGACAATTGAAAAGACCATGGATTAYCGCTGCTGTACTTAACTCAATTAAGAAAAAACAAAAGCTCTTTAAAACACACTTCTTAAGTAATGACCCGGAATAAATTAAGTATTATAAAACGTATAACAATAGATTAAATAAAATCAAAGAAGCTGCTAAAACAAATTACTTTAGAGCACAGTTTGATTTAAACAAAGAAAACTTAAAAACTACATGGMAGCTCATTGGTATGATTATCGAAAGGAAAAAAGCATCGTCAGTAACAAGTATCGAAAAGATCATTCATAACAATAAATGTCATACTGATAAAGCYAGCATTTGTCATCAGTTAAATTCATATTTTATAAATGTTGGCCAAGATCTTGCTGGGAAAATACCGGAGGTTGATGTCAATCCAAGCCAATACATAAAAACATCGAATCCAAGTAGCTTCATGTTTCGTGTGATACTTTCAAATGAGGTACACGATGAAATTCTAAACCTGAAATTGAACAAATCATGCATTGGTGTTCCGCAAAAGTGCATAAGAATATCGAGCAACCACCTTAGTGAAGCATTAACAATAATATTTAATCAATCCCTGCTTCAAGGTATTGTTTCCGATGTTCTTAAAATTTCTAAGGTAACACCTGTCGCCAAAGGAGGAGATGCCATGGATCCAGCTAATTATCGCCCAATTTCAACTTTATCAGCTTTTACTCAAATTTTCGAAAAGCTCGTCTACAAACAGTTGATCAATTACATTGAAAAACACAATTTTTTATTCGAGTTTCAGTTTGGATTTCGAAAAGGCCACTCAACTTCTAGCCATTACTGAAATAGCGGACAACCTAAGGAAAGCAATAGACAATAAAATGTATACTTGTGGTGCATTTTTA